CATCTGGTTCAGTTCGTGTGGCAGGTAGTGTAGAAAGAGATAGGGCCTGCAGGCAGCAGGGCAGGCCTAGCAGCAGGATGCCGGTTCCTGAAGATGCCCCGAAGTCCTGCGGGCTTGGGTATCTAAGCTCTTGAAAAAATGCATGGGGTTGGACAGAAACGTGCTCAGGGAGGCAAAGCAGGTGACATCAGTGGCTAGGAAGGCCCTCCGGAAATGGGACCTAGATCCTGGGCAGAGCCTTTCTTCCTCTGGCTAGGAGGCAGTTGCTGACTAGGGTGCAGTTTAATTCAAGGTGGTCAAATTCCTGTCAGTTTCTGCCTGAGCAGAAAGCAGGGTAATGAGTATCTTAGCTGCCTATATGCAGAAATAGTCCCTACAACTGTGCACAGAGGTGTGAGTCAGAGGGACTCAAGCATATTTACGAACAGCGGCTTAGCTAACCACGTGAACTGAATTCAGAAACTCGTTATTTACAATACCTGCCCCTCCCCCAAATGAGGGGAACCACAGTAGCAGAGAAGAGTGTTGTATCCTCAACAGGTTATTTTTATTCCACTTGGCTCGGAGCTCCTAGCCACTTCTCTCCCCAAACGCCACCATTTCTTCACAAAGGATTCAATGCAGGGCTTTTGCACAAAGCTATAACCCCAGTCTCTTTTTAAATTTTTAAATCTTGAGACAGGGCTAAGTCTCAAAGTTGCCTGGCTGGGTTTGAACTCATGATCTTACTACCTCAGCCTACTACAGTGCTCTTTTATTTTTTTTAAAAGAGACTTAACCTGGTTATTGTTTCCAAACTTATAAGACCAACCTAGAGCTTTGAGCTCCTGAAAGACTTGTAACGAAAATGATTTCCTTTGGATGCTGGGGAAAGGTGCTTTGGCTTGGCAGGGTGGAAAGTGGGTGAGGTTTCTAATGAATTCACTGGCAACTGGAAGGTTCTTTCTCTTCCAGCCAGTTGGCATAATAATGACCTTTCCAACTTTCCAAAAGATGGTTCTACAATAGGCCCGTGCCTGCCTCTGATTTCTAGCTCAAGGCCCTCAATGTGGCACAAATACACAATCTTGGGTAAACACTTAAATAGTCAAAGCATGTTTTCAAGGAAGAAACAAGAATGACTGCCTTTAGAACCAGAAGTTTTTATTGACTGCTAGAAAGCAGAGGGATTCTGAGATTCTGAGGATAAGTGCTCTGGACTTCTCAAAGGTGGCCCCAGCAAGGGGGCTAGAATGCAGTTAATGAACATAAAAGGGAAACACTGGGCTTGCAGGCGGGCCACCCTTGCTGACCTCAGCTGGCCTAGGCAAACTCCAACACTTCCCATTTTCCATACTGCCCCAGGAGGCACCTACTCAATCTGCCTCTCCATAGGCAGCATTCAGAAGGCACATCCCCTAGCAGATTGGCTCCAAACCCGGCCCGGGACCCTAAAAATGTTCTTCAATGAGCTGTTCCTGAAAAAGAATCAACGCGGGAAAGCCCCTCGCGGGAGTCCTGAAGCATACTCATTCAGGCAAACTTTGCAGATATGAGGCTGTTAGAATCCCCCTTTGATTTCTGCCAAGGTTTACAGGACAGGAGGAAGGGTGAACGGATAGGGCACATACCCAGGGTCGCCTGGTCCCGTAAAGCTAGAGTCTGGATACCAAGAATTCAGGGATAACCCGCCCTCTAAAGCGAGGCACCCCTCCATAAAACCGGCTGTCTCTCTTTCTAGGGTAGGGGTGACCTGGAAGCCCAGGAGAGTGAGAAGGGGGAGCGGGGGACTTTGGGTGAAGTTTCCAACTGGAGCCAACAAACGGCGCTATTGCCGCGCCCTGCGTCCTGGAAGCCCCATTCCCGGCCCCGATGGAGGGAGCCTTAGCTCTCTTGGGAACACAGGAGGCTGGGATCCGGAGGGTTAGGGTGATTTCCTAGGCTAGGATCCAAGGTTTGGCGCACCGCCCACGGGCTCCAGAAAGCGGGGACAGTGAGAGTGCTGCGAGGGTGCCCTCTTCTCCACAAGAGAATCAAAAGACGGGTCCTGGGTCTGCCCGGGTTCTGCTTTCCTTGCTGGATGCGAGGTGTTCATCCCAGACAACTACAGTTCCTTCCTCGACCACTGTACGGCCTCCCTCCCCTAAGCAGTCTCCGAAACTGAAGCCACTTGGGCAACGGTACCGGCCACGACACTTTCCCAGACTAGGCGACAGCCGCATTGCTGAGCTGGTGCTGAGTCTTCGAAGCTGGGTGGGCCGAAAGAACTGCTGGCTCCACCCTCACTCCTCATCTCCCCACGCCCACAAGGCTAACCTTGTCTACTGAAGTGTAATGGGACTCAAAAAGTTTCCTCGGAAGTTTGGAGGGAAATTCGGCTTGGTACTTCGGGCTACGAAGACCACCCCCAGAGTCACCCAGTCACCCGGCGCGGAGATCGGTTTAATCACAGCCTCTGCAGGAAGCGGGAGAACGTGCCTGTTCCCGGCAAAAGACCTTTGTAAATTTAAATCCAAAGGAGGATGAATGTGAAACTGAGCTCAAGTAAGCCTAAGCCACGGACTAGATGTAATCAAATGACAACCAGACCGGAGCAGCGATTTTAGGGGAGGAAGGAGGGACTAGCCCTGAAACCTCCGCCTTGGAAAAGAGGCAGTCCAGGGGCTGTCACCACAACGGCTTACTTGGGTCCTAAAACTTGGAAAGAATCCTGACATCTGTCAGGCTACTGGACGCCAGGCCGCGCGTCGGTTGGGTAGTTTCCTAAAACGCTCTTAGCAACAGCCTCGGAGGCCCAGAAAAGCATAGAGATGGCTCGGAGGGAAGGCGGCAGGAGGGCCGGGGCCACTGCACATCGGCTTCTTTAAGGGCCAGTGGATTTGCCTCAGGAAAAAAAATAGACTTTGTCAGTCAACTTGTCAAGAAAACCGGTGCAGGTGAGGATTGTCCTGTGTATGCGGACAAACAACACGTTTCTGTTCATAACAGAACCTTTCCAGATAGTTTACTGTAAGACCCTAAATTCGTGCACCAACCCAATCGATCGATACCCTTGACTGCGGAAACGTCAGACCAGGTGGAAAGCAAACTTAAGGGGTCGATTTCAGAACCCCAAACTTCCAGAAGGTGATGCGATCTGAGAACGGGATTCAGGTGCCGGCAGTCGGCCTCGCTGAGGGTACAGGGCTGATCAGCGCCCTACAAGCTGCCGCAGCTAACTTTTTAAGTAGTGCAAGAGAAAAAGAGGGAAGAGCCCGGAATGCAAGCTTCTGGAGATCATTACATCTTGCATTAAAACTACAAAAGCTAGAACCCGACCCCCCCCACGCATTTATAGGATGGACGTTTTCCTTTTAGTTCCTCACTTTTCCACAGGGTTAAGGGGGGAGGTGAGACCCCACACTGCCCACACCTTATTTCGGTTTCTGCCACAGCTGTCCAGGTGGCTTCTCATTCCCACTTGCCGCCTCAGGCGGCTCCGGGAATTTCAAATGCTGTGTTACTCATTGGAGGGGCAGCGGAGAATCAGGGTTCCCTCTCTCTGCAGCCGGGTTCCAGTGCCGCTCATCTGTGGCAGACAGCCCAATAAGCGACTGAATGTCCTGCTTCAAGTCTCCAGGGCTCCAGTCAGGAAGGCTGTAAAACAAGAAAGAAGGAGCACCGAATCCGTTAGCAGTGCTTGCTTCTGGGGGAGGCGGTGCGCGGAAAGCTGCGCTCAGCGGTCCCGGCAGGTGCGTGGCCACCGGAGGGGGCCCGGCGGTCCACCCTAGGATGGCTCCGGCTCAGCTCTGGTCACAGCCCCCCTTCTAAGAAACGTTTCTTTCACTCACAGAGGCTCCGTGTTGCCATGAAAACGGATTTTCCAAGGGGCCCGACCCTCCCCCTCAGGGGCATCAGACTGGAAAAACCCAAATGGCCAGAGAGCAGAGACAAAAAGGGGCCGCTAAGCGGGGGCCGAGAGCGAGAGAGCGGAGGCCGGTTCACTCCCTCGGTCCAACACCTACTCCCCGCGCACCGCGAGCGAGAGCTTCCGCCAGGCTCTGGTGGTGGGCGGCGGGCAGCTCACCCTCTTGCGAAGCCCGGAAGAGGCTCATTGCCTGCAGGTTCCACTCCGCGCTTCTCAAGCCTGTCTCTTGTGCGGTATCCCGTGACTACTGCAACGTCCTGCTCACACTGACTCTCCCGGTGGAGGATGTGGGAAGCCTGGGGCCAATTCCAGGGAGGGCTTCTTGGAGGCACACAGCCTAAGGCACCTCCATTGCTCGTAGGTCCCTCCAAGCCAGCCCGGGTAACTGGGGGTCCCCAGTGTTCCTATCGTTTGCCGCAGAAGTGCTCGGAAGTCCTCCGTGGGCACGCCGTGCTAGCTTTGTACATTGGCCTCGGGATGGGGCGTCGGTCTGCCTTGACAGGGTTGCAAAGTTGTTTTCTGAACCCCTTGGCCACTGCCCCTCCCCCTAATCCTGCTGGTGTGCCCCCCCACCTCCTGGAGTTTCATTCTTTCCAACTTTCTTGAGACCCTAATTGGTGGTCTGAGTGGTCTCCAGGACTCCCGCCTCCTGGATAACTCTGATCACGTCATTCGGTCCAAGAGGGGTGTGGGGGGTGAACGAAAGGGCTCCCCGAACTTTTTCTTTCCAGCTGGGCCAAATGGGGGCCTGGTGATGATTGGCCAGGACTCATCACTGCTAGCCTGTCAATCATGAGCCTACGGGTGGCGAGGGGCGGATCGAGCCCCAACCCCCGGGGATCCGAGCAGGTATATAAAGGAGCCAGGCAAGAGCTCGGCCAGCCAGTGAAGGCGTCCGGCTGGAGATAACGCATCAGGTGCGAGTATCCTGCGGGTTTCCTCTGACTTGGCGCGGAGCGCTCCAGGAAGCCTCCCCTTCCCACCCACTCCGCAGGCCCACCGGCCCCCAAGCGCCCCTCCGACGGAGTCCTCTGGTCTTTTCACTGTGGCCGCTCCAGCTCCGGGAGCGCCTTCTCCTCCCGCCACGCTGGCGCACCTCCTTCCCTCCCCGGCAATGTACAGCTTGCTGGAGACTGAGCTCAAGAACCCGGTGGGGCCGCCCACCCCAGCCGCGGGCACTGGAGGCCCCACCGCCCCCGGAGGTTCAGGCAAGAGTAGCGCGAACGCAGCCGGCGGCGCGAACGCAGGCGGCGGTAGCAGTGGTGGCGCGAGCGGCGGTGGCGGGGGTAGTGACCAGGACCGGGTGAAGCGACCCATGAACGCCTTCATGGTATGGTCCCGCGGGCAGCGGCGCAAGATGGCCTTGGAGAACCCCAAGATGCACAACTCTGAGATCAGCAAACGTTTGGGCGCCGACTGGAAACTGCTGACCGACGCCGAGAAACGACCGTTCATCGACGAGGCCAAGCGACTCCGCGCCGTCCACATGAAGGAGTACCCGGACTATAAGTACCGGCCGCGCCGCAAGACCAAGACGCTGCTCAAGAAGGACAAGTACTCGCTGCCTGGCGGCCTGCTGCCACCGGGCGCAGCTGCCGCCGCGGCTGCGGCCGCTGCAGCTGCAGCCGCCAGCAGCCCTGTGGGCGTGGGCCAGCGCCTGGACACGTACACGCACGTGAACGGCTGGGCCAACGGCGCGTACTCGCTGGTGCAGGAGCAGCTGGGCTACGCGCAGCCCCCGAGCATGAGCAGCCCGCCGCCGCCGCCCGCGCTGCCGCAGATGCACCGCTATGACATGGCCGGCCTCCAGTACAGCCCAATGATGCCACCCGGCGCGCAGAGCTACATGAACGCCGCGGCGGCCGCCGCAGCCGCCTCGGGCTACGGGGGCATGGCGCCCTCCGCCGCCGCCGCCGCGGCC